AGTGTCAGAGACAGTGCACAGGACAGATTGGCACAGGACAGAGAGGAGTTTAGGGCTGTTGTACATAGGGTCGCTATGAGTCGCAAGCGACTCGATGGCACATAACTACAACAACAACAAATCTCAAAAGAGAGCAGCAAAACATGTCAATAGTCACTGATTCCTGAAGCTACTTAATGGGCTCTGGTGATGGCAATTAGTTTAGCTTGTTAGACAGAGATAGCTTTGAGGAGATTAGTGGTCAAGAATTTTAATAGAGGTTGTGATAGGGTATCTAGCCTGATAATGAGATCCTATTTTAGATAAGAACAATCTACAAACCAAACCAGGAATATCTAAAGAGATTCCTTTAAAATGTCTTTGAGAAGTCTAAAGTTGTTCAAATATCATTTGACCCACCAATTCCACTACTGGGAATATGTTGTTTGTTGTTGTTATGTGCCGTCGAGTCGCTTGCGACTCATAGCGACCCTATGTACAACAGCCCTAAACTCCTCTCTGTCCTGTGCCAATCTGTCCTGTGCACTGTCTCTGACACTCCCATCCCAATTATCCCAGTCACTGAATCAATCCACCTCAAAGAGGGCCTTCCTCTCCTGTGCTGTCCCTCCACCCTCCCAAGCATGATGTCCCTCTCTAAGGACCGGTCTCTCCTCACAACATGTCCAAAGTATGTTAGATGGAGCCTCAGAATCCTTGCCTCCAAGGAGCCACCCGGTTTAACCCTTTCCAGGACAAATCTGTTTGTTTTCCTAGCAGTCCATGGTATTCTCAATACTCTTCTCCAGCACCACAGCTCAAAGGCATCAATTCTCCTTCTATCCTCCTTGGTCATTGTCCAACTGATTGCGAAGACCATGGCCTGTATCAGACGCACCTTAGTCTCCAGAAAGACACCATTGCTCTTCAGTACTTTGGAGAGGTCCCTAACAGCAGACTTTCCCATGGCAATGCGCCTTTTAATTTCCTGGCTGCTGGTGCCAAGACTGTTGACTATGGAGCCAAGCAAACTAAAGCTGTGTACAATCTCAATCTCTTCACCATCCATCCTGATGCTGCCAATTGGTCCAGTGGTGAGAATCTTTGTCTTCTTGACATTGAGCCTCAGTCCATATTGTAGGCTGCAGTCCTTGACACTCTGCAGCAGGCGCTTCAGGTCCTCTTCAGTTTCAGCAAGCAGGGTTGTGTCATCCGCATAACGCAGATTGTTGATAAATCATCCACCAATCTTGACCCCACATTTCTCCTCATAGAGCCCAGCCTCCCGGATAATCTGTTCTGCATATAGGTTGAAAAGGTATGGAGATAGAATGCATACTGGGAATATACCCTAAAGAAACCAGAACTTCCACCCAAGCAGATAAATGCACACCCATGTTTATTGCTACTTTGTTCACAATAGCAAAGAGCTGGAAACAACCCAAATGCCCATCAACAAACAAATGGTTAGAGAAGCTGTGGTATATTCACACAATGGAATAAATATTATGCAACACTGAAAAACAAAGAACTCATGAACTATTATATTAAATGGGTGACCATGGAGGACATTATGCTGAGTGAAATATCTCAGTCACAAAAAGACAAATACTGCATAATAGCACTGTTATAAAACAGGACTGACATGGGGGCCAGGGGGAGGGAACAAAAGAAGGGATAAATAATGTACACGGCATTGAAACAAGAGGGAGAGAACTGTATGAAAGGAATATATGATAAGGTATTATTGACATGACAAGAATCCATGCATGACATGACAGAGCTGCATAATAAAGTGGTCTGGGGGGCTGTATAACAATAAAAGAACTTTTTTTTCCAAAGAAAAAAGGAAACTTGGGGGAAGAGGGGCAGGGAGGAAAATGTGCAACAATGAATGAATGGAAATCCAAGTTCTTTATACACTTTCATTAAAATCTCAATTAGAAAATATTTATAGAAAAAGAAGTTGTTCAGTTATGTTCATGCAATTGTGCCTAGGGTGTTTTTTATTGTTAGATTCAGGAACAAGTATGGCAGGACTTAAAGAAGCCACAGAATGTAGTCTAATATTAGATTCAGTCAGAAGGAAAATTTCAGAAGAATTGAGCCAACTGTTGGAGAGATGTTGAGTCAGAATAGTGTTAAATATGGGAACTACAGCATTGACTATGTAAATATCCAAAAAGCTCTCCCCATTCTGCATAATCAGTGCCTTCTACCTATATGGTAGCTGCAGCTACTGGTCAGAGACAAGGAAAGTACCCTTTGGCTATAGGGTCAAATGAAAGCTATATTAGCCTGTAAGTCTTTGACATCCCTTGTAATTCTGTATCAGAATACAAAAAAAAGTTTCCAGAAACTTCATGTACAAATCAGGAAAAAGATATAGTAGGAAAACTGAGTATTGGTATGTTATAAGAACATTTTTCAATTTATTTATAGCTTCCTGACAATGTTGTTAAGTGCTGTTGAGGCAGAAGCAACCCGTAGCTGCTGACCCTACAGGGGCTTTTCAGAGACTATAAAATTGTTATGAGAGGAGACTGATCATCTTTGTCTCTTGGAGAAACTTATGAATTTGAACTACCTCTGGGTTGGCAGCATAACTCCATGCCCACTGAGCCATCAGAACTCCCTGGCTTCCTGAAAATCTGGTGCAATTTGAAAAGAATCTGGTTTGAAGAATTTTTTAACTATTTATATAGGGGTTGAGCTAACAAGGAGAAATGAAGAAAGCAATACAGTAGCCATGAAGTTGCAGAAACTTAAATAATTATTTCTTACTCTTAGATGTTGCTTCTAGGTGCCATCAAGTCAGTTCTGGCTCATAATGACCCTGCGTACAACAGAATGACACACTGCCCAATTCTATACCATCCTTAGAACCCGTGCTGTACTTGAACCATTGTTGCTCCTTTCATTTGGAATCATAGAAATAATATTGGCAGAGGGGAAACAATTTAAATTGTCTATGGTTTCATCTTACTTGGATTCACAATCAATACCATTTGTATCAGCAAGTCAAGAAATCAAAACCTCTACTGCACAGGGAAAATCTGCTGTCAAGGACCTCTCCAAAGTCCTATGGAGCAATGATGTCAGTTTAAAGACTACAGTGTGTTTGACTCAAACCATGACTTTTCAATCACATCTAAGAGTGGGACAATGAATAAAGATGACAGAAGAATTGATGCCTTTGAGTTGTGGTGCTAAAGAAGAATATGGACTATCTCATGGGCTGTCAAAAGAACAAACAAATATATCTTGGAGAAATTGCAACCAAAGTTACCTTAGAAGCAAGGATGGAGAAGCTTTTATGTCACATCCTTTGGGCATGTTATTTGAAGGAGCTATTTCTTGGAAAGGAGCATCGTGCTTGGAAAGGTACAAGCTCAGTAAAAGAGAAGACTCTCAACAATATGACTGACACAATGACTGCAGCAATGGGCTCAAGTGTGTCAGAGATGATGAGGACATCACAGAGTTCAGATCCATTGTTTATGGGGTCATACTGTAAGTCAAAATTCAACTTGATGGCAAATAACAACATATATTTAATAGGGAGTTCTGGTGGCCTAAGGAGCTAGATGGTCTAGCTATAAGGAGTCGCACTGCCAACCAAACGGTAAGCTGTTCAAATCTACCAATTGCTCCACACAAGAGAGAGGAGACGTTTCCTATCTTGCAACGTACAGCCTGTGAAAAACCGCTGGAGGTGTGTGTGTGTGTGAAGACACACACACACACACACACACACACACACACACTCTCTCTTAATGGAAAGCTAAAACTGTTGTTTATCTTTAGAAACTACAACAGCTAGATGTTTTAACAAAATTATACTGCCAACAATAAAATTCTGGGAATTTTAGGATCTTAGTAAAAAATCAACATATTGTAACAATTTAAACTTATTCTTAAATTTCAAAGGGAATCTTCAATTTCAATCAGCATGGTAAATTTGAGGAAAAAAAATAAGTGGACAACTCAATAAATCCTTGAGACATTACCATATCATTAAACTTTTGATTCTTTTAAGTAAAAACAAAGAAATATTATTTCTCAGAGTGTACAGGAAAAAAATAACGACACATAAAGTTCGATTACACTGAAATTTGTAGCATCCAGATTAATATTGGAAATCACTAAGTGAAGTTTGGGGACCACTGGAAATCTAAGGATAACAATGCAGTTTTACAAGGGCAATAGGTACCTTTTAATCTAAAAGGGGTAGTTAGTGTGGCAATTGAAGCATAGTTTGTGATCTCTTTTCTCCGATTTACAGATTCAGAATGCGCTTTCTGATTTTTTCAAAACTTCAGAGTTCTGCCTTGGTAAGTCTTCCTATTAGTGTTTCTACTTTTCTCCCTTTCTTTTATTTCCTTTTTTCTTTCTTTTTTGAGAAGGATGGTGAAGGAGGAAGAAGGGGCTGGCTGAATTCAAATGAAGAGCCAACATTGTGAGAAAAAATGTGCAAGCTCTTAAGTTAAGCTCTTCTGTTGTTTCCAGATGGAGACAGAAGAAAAGTAGAGAAGTAATCAGTGATTCATAATCCTAAAATGTCCCCATTTTATTACAAATATTCTGAATTGCTCCTTTACTATCCTTTACATTTCTATAAAATATTCCCTACATATGTGGTTAACTTTGAGAACGATGGGAATCCCAGAACACCTGATTGTGCTCATGGAAAATCTATACCTGGATCAGTAAGCAGATGTCAGAACAGAGCAAGGAAACACTGCACGGTTCAAAATCAGGTAAGGCATGCATCAGGGATGCATCCTGTCTCCATACCTTTTCAATCCCTTTGTGGAACAGATCATTTAGGAGGCTGGATTTTATGAGAAGGAATGTGGCATTAGGTTTGGAGGAAAACTCATCAACAACCTGCATTATGCAGATGGCAAAGCCTAGCTTGTTGAAACTGAGGAGGATCAGAAGTGTTTGCTCCAAAAAAGTAAAAAAAAAACCAACAGCAGTCTTTAATATGGACTGAAATTTAACACCAAGAAGACAAAAATTTTCACCACAAGGCCAAGTGGCAGCACCATTTTAGATGGAGAAAAGATTGAGATAGTTAGCAATTTCAGCTTGCTTGGCTCCACAATCAACACTCTTGCTTGGCACTAGTAGTAAAGAAATTAAAAAGAAAATTTTCATTAGAAAAATGGGCTTTCAGGTACCTCTCTAAAGACCTAAAAAGCAATGACGTCAGTCTGGAGACTAAGGTGGGCCTGATCCAGCCCATCCAAGGTCTTTTCAATTGCTTGCTATCCATCAGAAAGCTGGACAATGAATAAGAATGACAGAAGAGTTGATGCCTTTGAGTTGTGCTGCTGTAAAAGAGTGTTGAAATACATGAACCCAAGAAAACAGAGATGTCTGTCTTGGAGAGGACAGACCAAGTTGCTGCTTTTTGGAGGCAAGGATTTTGAAGTTCAGTCTCACATACTTAGGGCATGTTGCCAGAAGGGACCAGTTCTTGGAGAAGAACATCATGCTTAGAAGGATGGAGGGACAGAATAAGTAAGGAAGACCTGGGATGTGGTGGCTTGCATAGTAACTGGGGTAATACAGTACCCTACTCTTGCCTCTTGTCACTATGACAGCACAGACTCACTGAAGGAGAAGTACACTCAAATGAAGGACCTCAGATTTTGATGCTTTTGTTTTCAGAAAGATTTTCCATTTGAAATTCATTGAAAAATCATGACTGTTGCATAAAGTACCAAAGTTTTATTCTTGAGCTTTACATGAGCCACATTTGCCTAATTGATTTTTTCATACCATTTGCATTACATTGTTAGCAAGGGATTGACTTGAAGTTCATTTTCAGCTTTCTTAACATAAAATATGCTTCTCACCTTCCTGATCACTTCTTCTCAAACATGATTTATGCCTTATTGGAATATTTTCTCCCATCTGTTTCCAGCCTGTCCAAAACCTGTAATTCTTTATAGTTAGTTCAACCTCAATTCTTCATTCAGAAAAAAAAAATCCTTGAAATTATTTTTTTCCTTTACTTTCAGATAAGTGGTTTAGAAAGAACAAGTTTACAATCCTCTGTTTGGGATTCTGATATACAGAGATTCTAAACCACCCCAGTTGACAGTAATTAGACTCCCTGTCTTCTAAAATTCTCTGTATTTTAGAGTTACTGTCATCAATTTGATCTTGTATAGATAATTCTTTAAAAGAGTCCACTACTCAAGGTGAACATTTATTGTTGTTGTTGTTAGATGCCACCCAGTCAACTCAACAACAACCTTGCCTGATTCCATGCTATCCTCATAATCTCTGCCATGTTACCATCTCTATGTCAATTCATCTGTAGTTTAAAGATGACTTCAGGAAGTAAGTTTCCATTTAGGGCTTAAATAGAATCCTGGGTCACTAGACTAAGTAGTTCCCACAGTCCTAATGAGTCCCAGAAAGGTTGGTTGTCATGATTTGCTGTTTGTATGTATATATTGTTTAGATCTTTTCTTGACATAATGTTGTTGTTGTTGATTGCCATCTAATCGAGCATGACTCATAGCAACCCTATGAACAAAAGACCTGAATCCTGTCTATAAACATCATTGTTTCTCAAAGTTCATAGAGTTTCCAGAGGCATGCTGTTTAGGAAGTGGATGCCACTCCTGCTTCCTGATATATATTATTGTTGTTGTTGTTGTTGTTAAGTGCTGTCAAGTCGTAGATGACTCATAGCAACCCTATGAAGGAAAGACCTGAACATTTGTATGACTTTCATCTTTTCTCCAAGTTCATAGAGTTTCCGGAGGCAAGCTGTTTCAGAAGGGGATGCCACTCCTGCTTCCAAACTTTTAACTGGGGAGCTCCACTAAACACTGTCCACCATGGGTAACCATTATTGCATTTGACACAGCAGTATCACAGTGTTTGGCGTCACAGCAAACACAAGTTACCTCTGTATAGCAAATGGACAAAAGAGTGCTATACCGCTTAGAAGAATGCTTGACCAAAAACAATTAAAACCAGGCCTGAGTGCCACAGATTAAAATCACCCACCTTTAGCTTGGTAGCTTCACTTTCTTTTTTTAAAAATTATTATTAAATTTTATTAGTTTTAATGAACATTTACAGAGATTTTGGGTTTTCATTCATTCATTGTTGCACTGTTTTCTCTACCCTCCTCCCCAGTTCGTTCTTCTTTCCCCCCATGTCTGTTTTAATTGTCCAATTGCCACAGTGCTTGTCAAAGCCAGTTCTGATTAATCTCCTTTGTCAGTGTGTCCTTTGCCATTCCCTATCACTCCTCCCTGAGAGAGACTTCACCCTGATTCATAAGGAAAAGGGGATGGCGTATTCTCTTAGCTACTTCCTGCTGAAAAGGGACGCTGTGGGTTTCAGGGTGAAGATCTTCTCTCACTACCCTAAAGGGTCCCTTTGGCAGTAGGAAACACATAGACTATTATGGAGAATGATTTTGGAATTTAGATGCACTGTTATCAATTGTGCTTAGCCGTACATGTTCATATCCTTGAAGATGTATCATGGAAGTGTTGCAGGTAGCTTCACTTTCTGTCCACTAGGTCGATATTGTTGTTGTTAAGTGTCGTCGAGTCATAGACGACTTATAGTGACCCTGTGAATGAAAGACCTGAACACTTGTATAATCTTCATTGTTTCTCCATGTTCTTAGAGTTTCTGGATATAGAGTATCAATATATTGTTGCCTTCAGGAAACATCAAAAAGAAAAGAAAAATTTTTAAAGCAAAGTTTACAGCAGTGTGTTTTAGAACCTATTAGCATACATGAACAAACTAACACAAATTATTTGTTAGTCTTATGTTATTAATGTACAAATATATTTGTTTTGTCCTAAATGGGTCAGTAAAAATGTTGTAGGTTCAGTCTTTCTACTAATTGAGTTATTCAGTTAAATAAACATTAGTAAAAATAATTATTTTTTAGTAGTTGAAATGGTACCCAGTGTATCATCTATTTTATGGTAAACACTGATGAACATTAGCTAATAAATAATTTTATTACTTTTTTAAAAGCTGTATATTGTGAAAATAAAATACATTTTATGTTTTGAATATATTGTAACGGTATTAACTCCCAAATAATCTTTATTTCAGAATTAGAATCACGTTGCCAGCAGTTGGAGATTACTGACTCAATGGAGCAAAGATTTGATAAAAATGAATTTACTAAGGTAAGAAGTTACATTTTTAATTATTGAAATCTATTTTACCTCTTTCAGTTGTCTTTTAGTGTGAAAGTATGAAAACTTTCCACTGTCATCTTCCGGTCAGACCAAAAAATGAAAAAAGCCTTTTATAGTAAATGAAAAGGAGCCTTGGTGACTCAGTGATCAAAGCACTTGACTGTTAACCAAAAGAACACTAGTTTGAACCAGCCAGCTGCTTCAAGGGAGAAAGATGTCACAATCTTCATCTGTAAAGATTCACAACCTTAAGAGCCAGTGGGACAGAGCTCTGGTGGCCTAGTTCGTAGGAAGCTGTGCTGCTAACACAAAGGTGACATCTCTCTAGCAGCTTGAATCCACCAGGAAGAGAGGCAGCATCTCTTCCTGTGTGATTTAAAGCACTGAAAAACCTCTGGAGAGTCAGGGATGAACTCGTTCTGACTTGACAGTAATGAGAGAGTAGTGAGTGAGTAGAGCTACCGTGAGTTGGAACTGAGTCAATAACAATGAGTTATGGTTTTGTACTAAGAAATGAGCATGTTAACTCATTAATCTTACATCAAGGAAACAAAAATTCTCACCACCGGGCCAATAGGCAGCATCAAGATAGCTGGAGGTAAGATTGAAGTTGCTAAGGATTTAATTTTGCTCAGATCCACAGTCCACACCCTTCGCACCAGCAGTCAAGAAATCAAAAGACAAGTTTGCATTGGGGAAATCTGCTGTCAAGCACCTCTCCAGAGTGCTGAAGAGAAACAATGTCAGTCTAATACACTATTGAACCCATCCTTCTCAGTCTACCCCCAACCCCGAGGTCAATCCTGTTTTACGACGGTACCACTGTGCAGTATTTGTCCTTTTGTGACTGAGATATTTCACTCAGCATAATGTCCTCCAGGGTCACCCATTTTGAATAATATTGCATGAGTTCCTTGTTTTTCAGTGCAGCATAGTATTCCATTGTGTGAATATACCACAGCTCTTTTAGTCATTCGTTGATGGGCACTTAGGTTGTTTCCAACTCCTTGCTATTGTGAACAAAACCGCGATAAACATGACTGTGCATGCATCTGCTTGGATGTCAGTTATGGTCTCTTCAGGGTATATTCCCAGTAGTGGAATTGCTGGGTGGAATGGTATCTCTGTTTGCAACTTTTTGAGAAAGTGCCATACAGTCTTCTACAGTGGTTGCACCATTTTACACTCCTAGCAACAGTGAATAAGGGTTCCAGTTTCTCCACAACCTCGCCAGCATTTGTTGCTTGCTGTTCTGTTAAATTTTGCTATTCTGACTGGGGTGAGATGATATCTCATAGTTGTTTTGATTTGTATCTCTCTTACAGCTAGGGATTTTGAACATTTCTTCATGCTTGTTAGCTATCTGAATGTCTTCTTTGGTGAAGGGTCTGTTCATATCCTGTGCCCATTTTTCTATTGGATTATTTTCCTTTATCTTGTTTTGGTGCTCAAGTATTTTATAAATTCTGGATATAAGTCCCTTATCTGATATGTCATTACCAAATACTTTTTCCCAGTCTGTGGCTTCCCTTTTTACCCTGTTGGAGAAGTTTTTGGATGTGCATAGGGATTTGATTCTTAGAAGATCCCATTCACCTATTTTTTGTTCACTACACCATTTTTAATCTTGCTTAATCCATTGCAATGGTCTTAGAGAATGCAGAAAATACTCATGATTATGGGGTCTATTATAGAAATAACAGGTTACAATTCTGGTTGGAAACACTAAGTTTACAACTCCTAAATCCTCTTCATCTAGGTATAGGTTTCATACAAGCACAAATAAGTGTTCTAGAATTCTCAGTCCTCTCATTGTTAGCCTTCATTTGTTATGATCCACATAGTCAAATGTCTTTGTATAGTCAATAAAATACAAATATACATTTTTCTGGTCTTCTATGTTTTCTGCCAGGATAAATCTGACTTAAGCAATGATATCCCTGGTGCCACAGCCTCTTCTAAATCCTGCTTGCACATCTGGCAGTTTTTAAGTACTGCTTTAGCCATATTTGAATGATCCTCAGCAGTGTTTTACTTTCATGTGATATTAATAATGCTTAATAATTTCCACATTTTGTTGAATCATCTCTATTGGAAATAGGAACAAACATGTATCTCTTCCAGTTGGCCAGGCCACTGTCCTCCAAATTTCCTAGACTGGTGAGCATGTCCAGAGCTGCCTCTGTCGTTTGAAAAATTTCAATTGGTATCCCATTGATTCCTGGAGCCTTATTCCGCCCCCCCCCCCCAATGCCTTCAGTGCAGCTTGAATTTCTTCCTTCATTACCACTGGCTCTTGATCATTTAGTACTTCCTGAAATACCTCCTAAAATATTGCATCTCGAGGTTTGAATTTGCTTTGTCTTTTCAAACTGCCCTTTGAAATCTTCTGTTTAGCTCTTTTAGTTCTATAGACATGGAGATACAAAATACACATGTAGATATAGGCAGATAGAATCAGTGCTAAGTCATAACGAACTCATAGCTGAACTTTCCTTGAGTTTCCAAAGCTCTAAATTACACAGGAGGATCTTGACCTTCTTTTTCTCTCAGAAATGTTAGTGGGTTCTTTCTGCAATAGAGACTCAGCCTTTGGGCTCCTTACAGACTAGACCATTAGAGCTCCCTAAATACAGATATTACTATAGATATATCCCATTTTCTCCTTTATTTGTGTGGGCACTTATGGTATGTTATATAGTTTTAATACATGACTTGGCTATTTAAGAGGTAAGAATTAGTTTTCCTGACATTCCCCACTTTCTGAGATGTAAATAGCACACATTCAGACATTTTCACTATAGGCAGCTATTCTAAAACAGAAACAAAAAAAGTATTTTTTGTATCAAAATACTTACAAATGTTTCATTATCTGATCAACAAATCATTGGGTCATTCTGTATGCACAAAAGCAGCACATAGAATACTTGGTTTATAAAAATTCGACCTTAAGGCCAATTTATCAGCATTTAGTTAAGGAAACTGGAAGAATGTCTGATTGTAAATGGTGGGCTTAAAGACAAGATATTACACACAGATGCCACCCAGTGGAGGTACTATGCCAAGCAATTAACCTTGTTTACAATGAGCCACTATGATTAGCAGTTGGAAGGGAGAATGTTTGGCGAAAAGTCATTGACCAATAATTAATGTGGAAGGAAAGTAGCAGAGAATATGAATGTTTATACACATACCTTTTTGTGAGTATCATTTTCTTAGTGTATTTGTTTTCCAATGGATAAATGAGCAAGTGATAATTTTTCTGGTAGGTGCTGTGTGGTCAGCTTTGACCGATAACAATTTACGTGCATTAGCCCATTTTCGCAGTCACTGTGTCAATCCATCTTATTCAGGGTCTTCCTCTTTCATTGACCTTCTGCTTTTCCACGTATGATGTCTTTTTCCTGATCACCTGCTCAAAGTATGTGAAATGAAGTCTAGTCATCCTTGCTTCTAAAGAGCACTCTGGATTTATTTTTTCCAAAGCAGATGTTTTTGTTCTTTCCGTAATCAATAATATATTCCATATTCTTGGACAATATAGTAATTTAAAGACATCAATTCTTTATGGTCTTCCTTATTTATTCTCCAACTTTCACATGATGTCCTAGGTAACAATATTTCTCTTATTTTTTGTCTATTTCATTCTTGTAAATAAAGACCAAAGGTAGCTATTTCAGAATTTTTATAACTGCATCTTAGTTACTCATTGTTCAGTTAATACTATGCTAGAAGTAGGGTCAAATTGAAATTGTATTTCTTATCTTTAAAGACACAATACTGCCATGTTGTATGTGTATGCAGGTGTTTCTAATCTGTTTGTATAAACTCCTAGATGGAGCCCCAGAGAGGTGATGAGAAGGGAAGAATAAAAATATAAGCAAATTAAGAGCTAAAGAAAAAAAATAAAAAGCAACTAACAGATACAAAATAAAAATTATAGTCATCACTGTGCAGAGATAAGCAGTTAAGTAAAAGTCATGATATTTTCAGCTATTTCTTACATATCTGAAAGTTGGACAATGAATAAGAAAGACTGAAGGGGAATTGATTCTCTTGAATTATACTGTTGGCAAAGAGTACTGAATATCCCATGGACTGCCAAGAGAGCAAACAATCTGTCTCAGAGGAAGCACAACCAGAATGTTCCTTAGAAGCAAGGATAATGAGACTCTCCTACTTAGGGCATATGACCAGGAGGGACCAGTCCTTGGAAAAAGGCATCATGCTGGGAAAGGCAGAAGGTCTGTGAAAGCCAGAAAAGACTCTCACTGAGATGGACGACACTGGTGAATTTGAACCGTTAGAGAGGCATGGCCTTTGGATTAGCAATAAAACTCTCTAATCACTCAGCCCTCTATTGTTCATCAACAGGAGAAAATAATTTCCATGACATTTGTTTACATGTGCTTAATTGGTTTCAAGAATTTAAGTTCACTTTTCTCATCTAGCACATAAAGCTAACTTGTCTAAGTACAGCTTAATAGTTCACTTAACTCACAGGGCAAGTTGGCTCCGACTCATAGTGACTCTCCATCAGGTTTCCAGGGCTGTAACTCACAATGGGAGCACACTGTGCATCTCCCTCTTGAGGAGCTGCTGATACATTAGAATCGTCAGAGATCCTTGGCCTTTGAGTTAGCTGAGCAACTTCTACCATGAACTATTCCACCAGAGCTCCCTAATAGCTCTTAAATCAGTCTAAGGGATCGTTTCAAGATTGATGGCAACTAGTTGCCATACATTCCTTAGAATGTATATTTTCATTTTTTCTGTTTTTACAAGAGACTCTAGCAAAATTCTGTAATTGTATTTGCTTGGCAATTGATGTTGTTATTTTAATGTCATACATCTCATACTTACAGAATACTAACACTGCTCATCAGAAGACTTTAGATATAGAATGTTGTTGTATCTCTTGGAGAAAGGTTCAGGTTAATTCTTGATGAAGTATTGTTCCCACAGTCAGAAAACTCAGATGGCTTTGAGGTCAAGTCTCATTATAAAACAGGATGATTGTTCTCATGGACCAGTAATTTTTTATGCATTAGAGGATTGAGTCATGATATTGGTGAGGAAATGTAAATTAAGCATTAACTATAAAGAGTTTTATCTAAATGGTAACAAAATACTGTTCTGTACCATTGATTCAAAACCGACCCAGAGCTGAGCCTCCAGCAGGTTTTCAGACGCGGTAAATCACACAGGAGTTATCTCTTTTTCTCCTGAGGAATGGCTGGTGGATTTTAACTACATGTCTTTGGGTTGGTTGTAAAACTCCTTACATCAGGCCATCAGATCTCCCTAACAAGAGCTCGCTCACTCATTCACTATGTTTAGGTATAAGTGTTAAATCCTTGGGAAAAACTCTAAAATACACTATTTAGAGTAAATTATTTTATCCTCTTCCTCCCCCCCCCCCCAGTACATCTCTTCACACATCTCAGACTTTAAAAGTGAAATGTTTGAGGAACTTCTGCAGCACCTTTGCCACTGTGCAAGTGAATTTCGGGAGCTCATAAAAGCTGACATGCGGAGGCAGATGTTTATTGAGCTCTTCCTGTATTGTGACCATGGAAAGGTGGGTTAAAACTCAAAAAAGTCTCACAGTGTGTGGGTGAAAGATTGATTTTAGGTTTGGCGAAGGGAATATTAATTTCCAATCTCTTCCAGACTGTTGTTATGTGCCATCGAGTCTCCTGCAACGAATTCATAGTGACCCTCTGTAAAACAGCCCTAAACCCTGCTCTGTCCCTTGCCAATCTTATTGTCTCCAACACTCCTATCCCCATTACCCCAGTGAGTGAATCAATCCATCTCATCAAGGGTCTTCCTCTCCTGCGCTGTCCTCCACCCTCCCAAGCATGACGTCCCTCTCCAAGAACCGATCCCGCCTTGCAACAGGTCCAAAGTATATCCAGACTGAAACTCAAAAGAAATTAACTCAGTGCAGAAAAAAGGACATGCAAAGCAAAATCTACACATTTTTATTTTCATATTCAAATCTGAGCCATGATACAAAAAGATGTATGCATATCCATGTCTATTGCAGCATTAGTCACAAAAACAAAGAGGTAGACGGAGACCAAGTGCCCATCAACAAATGA